CCTTTCCTTTCCTTCCCTTCCCTTCCCTTCCCTTCCCTTCCTTTCCTTCCTCCCTTTCTTCCTCCCTCTCTTCCTTTCTTCTCCACCTCTGGAAGCTTTCAAGAAGAGATTGGACCCCCATTTGTCCAGAATGGTATAGGGTCCCCTGCTTGAGTTAGGGGGTTGGACTAAAAGATCTCCAAGATCCTTCCAACTCTTGTTATTCTGTCATTCAATAATCCCACATCAATTGACCAGCGGAACGTCCTGCTTCCAGAAAACGTGGGTGCGCTCCCTCACTGGAGTTTTTTTAAAGAAAAGATTGGACAGCCCTTGGTCTGAAAAGGTTGTAGGGTTCCTACAAGTTCGGGGGTTGGACTAGAAGACCTCCAAGGTCCCTCCTAACTCCATTATTCTGTCATCCTATAATCTCTCAGAGCAATTAACCAGTGGCACAGAAGTTGCCTTCAGAAGTTGTGTGGTTGCGGTCCATCACTGGAGGCTTTTAAGAAGAGATTGGACCGCAAATTGTCCGGAATGGGTATGGGGCCTCCTGTTTGTGCAGGGTGGTTGGACTCGATGACCTCCGAGGCCCCTTTGACCTCGGTTATTCTGTGTTCTACAGTTTCACCTGTCTGGTGCTGTGCGTCTCCTCTGGTCCAGCCACTGTGTGGCACTGTCTCTGCGCGAATTGAATGCCAAAGATCCCCCCCCCCCCGGTCTCTTCCTTTCTCCTGCTCCTCTGCCCCGACTTCTTCAGGCAAGGCCGCACGCCGGGCCTTAACAGCATGATTTGCACCCATATCTGCCACCCTACAAGAGTTTCCATTCTCTTCTTCAAGGGACAAACTCATGCCCGGTTAAGGATTCTTCCCCTGTGCCAGTTGTGACTTCAGATTCAACCAGCACTTGCAAGCTGGCACCGAGGGGGATGATCCCCAGTTCCTCCGTTAAAAGCAGTGGCCGAATTAACACCCGCATGGACACGCGGATGCACACGCGTGTGTAAACAGAGCCAAGGCACGGATACCCGTGGGGAAAACGAAGTCTGCTTTCCTTTTCATTTGGAAGCAAGTGGCCCTGTCCTGCCTCCGTTTCCTTTCCTTTCTTCGCTGCCGCCTCTTTCTCTCTCCCCGGGTGCGGCGAAGCCGTCTCTTCCTTCTGCTTGGCGCTTCGTCGTCAGGTGGCATTCGCTGCCTCGTCAACCCTTAATGCGACGTTTTTACGTCTCCCAAGCCGCCCAGCGGGATTGATAGGAGCTCTTGCATTGATAGAGACGTGTTGAGGTACATCAATGCAGCGGCGGGAAAGGGCTGTGTCAGCATTTTTCCAGGTAACATCCCGAGTTTATAACGGAGGCGTTAAAAAGAGCGCTGCGCCAACCTTCTGTCTTTTCTGAAAAGGAAATCTGTTTTCTCATGGGATGTGAGAAAGCACCAACACTGGATGCTCTGACCAAGGCTTCCTAAGGCCTAGTTAAGCACACGCTTAAGTTAAAACAACACTTGTTTTATTTCAATGCTGGGAATTACGTGCATTCCCAGCCTGTGTTGAGTCCCAAACAGTCCCTCGAGATAAGCACCCACCTTTCTCTCCTTTGAATGGCTGCCAAATGAACTGTAAAAAAAACCAACCGAAGTACAAAGTCCACACAGAGCTTCGAGGTTTAATCCGAACAGAGCGAACGGCTTTGCTTCCTGCAAAGGTTTCTCTCCCTTTGCCTGTCTTTTATACCGTAGGGGAGGGGCAATCAGCCCCAGGCCTTACTCCAGAGTCGGCCCTTTTGTCTTCGCTGCTCTTGCCTTCTGGCAGCTCTGCGCATACACGAACTGGGAACAGGCTCCCCCTGTTCCTCTGCCTCGCTGCTGCCAGATTCTGGAGGCTCTGGAGCCAGCACATCACTCCCAGATGGCCCTGGCCCCATCTCTGCGTCGGACGCAGGACCCTCGTCTGAGTCCTCCCCAGACTCCTAGACTGGCTCATGTTCCTCCCCACTGTCCGTCTCCACAACCCTTGCCAAGTGTGAAGACCCTTGCTAAAAAACGTCCTTCCTTCAGCAGACTTGGTGTAACGGCCGGCGTTATTTGCACACCAAATATTACCCACGCCCTCGTTGGCTTCGTTGCCCGCTGAGGCCCGGTTCTTCCTTTTCTTCGCCCGCAGCAAACATTCGAGGTCCACCCGGAAGAGGAGAGCCACGTGACCCACATGATCAAGGCCGGCAGTGGCGTGTGGATGGCCTTCTCCTCGGGGTCCTCCATACGTCTCTTCCACACCGAGACCCTGGATCTTCTGCAGGACATCAACGTAGCCACCCGAACCATGGCGGTCTTGCCAGGTAGGGTTTGAAATACGGGAAACCCTAAGGATCCACGGCGGGGCGGGAAGGGGCGGGACTCGATTCAGGTAGTCCTCGAGTTCATTGAGCCCAGTCGTAAAGCAGGTCATCCCTTGACTTGTGAACTGTTTGCAGCAGTTAAGCAAAAAAATAAAAATAAAAAATAAAACCATGGTCAGGAAGCCACTTTCTAGTAAAAACATTGTAAAATCTCAGTCGGAGTGTGGTTACCGAGGATTGGTGGTGGGTGTCAGAACTTAGAAACCAGATCATAAGTAGGTCTGGTTTTTTTTTTTTGGCGGGGTGTGTGTATGTGTGTGTGTCTGTCATGGTTTCCCTGCATACAGCAGAGGGTCAGACTAGATGACCTCTGGGAGGCCTCCCAACTCCACCATTTGTGGGAAAGGATTCCAGCGGAATTATTTACAACCGCTGTAAAGGCCTCGGGCCCTTTCAAACAAACACAACGGGTATTTTTACCATGTGACCACATGAAGAGATGCCATCTTCCTTGTACAAGGTGAGTGCCCAGGTATCCACCCCCCCACCCCGAAACCCCAGAATCTCCCCAATTTGAATCCTACATCAGTCTAGCCACTGTTTGGGTGTGTGTGTGCGTGTGTGTGAGGAAGCTCCGCAAAGTTTCCGCCTGCTCGTGAAATTGTATTTGGAAAAGACGCTTTTCTGAATTCTTTTATTATTTTTTTCCCCCAGTCTATTCATTCGTTCACCAACTCCTTCTCTTTTCATAAGGGCTGGAAATGGGCACCCCGAAAATACATAACGGGGGCACCCCAATTGGCAAACTCAGGGCTGGCAGGAAGGAGGGGAAAAACTTCACGAAGGGGGGAAAGAAAATGGCTGATTAAAGCCGCGGTAAATTCTTCATTAATCTTTCCCTTCCGCCTCTCCCGCCCTTCCCTTCTCTCTTAGCAAGAAGTAATTGTATAATTAGTGCTAAATGCATTACTTATATAAAGTGTTTCGTGGGGTTTTTTTGTGTTTTTTTTTCCGTCTTCTCTCCTTCCCCCCCAAAAAAGATGTCGCACGAGAGCCGTATTTAAAAAAATTTATCGCGGCCGCTTCTGCTTCCGCGGTGTAAGTATTTCTATATTAATGTATTTTTGAACTTAAGCTTCTCATCCTTTTTAACTAGACAGGCCATTTATAAAGACGTCGGCATAACAGAAAAGCCTTTTTAAAATTTGTATATGGGCTGATAGGTTAATTTTGTCTGACATTGGAAGTTTAAGTCTGCGGATAAAATATTTATATGTCTCCTCACTTCCTCTTTGATTTTTGGGGGATGAAAACCGCTTTAATCTTTTAAATCTGCTGTTTATTCCCCAAAGATTCAAAGTTGTACAAATTGACTGTCCTCCCTTTTATCCTAATTTAGCAACGTCATCCCTAAGAATAGTTTCAGTTTCACAGCACCCAGCAGCTTTAGTACAGAACGGTTGAGCTAAGCCACGCCCAGGCTCCTTGCTGCCTTCTTCTTGCTCACACAGCAAATACTGCTTCAGTTTCCAAACAGCCCTTAACTCTCTCACACACTGACAGGACGCTAGCCAGATTAATACTGATGGATGGCAGAGGAAGCATTTTTTTTCCTCTTATTTTCTTCCCCCAAAAAACTAAGCCCGATCGCATAGTTTCGTAGCGAAGCACGGGTATCGAGCTAGTTTAATAATAAAAAAAAAACTTATTTCCCTCCCACTGAGGATCTTCCTGTTCTTACGTCACTTTATTACCCATTTTACTTCCTTCCCCGCCTCCAAAATTCTCCTGTTTTTTTTTTTCCTTTTCTTCAACCCCCATCATTCATTTGCAAATAAAACGCACAGATTCAAAAGTGGAGATGAATATGGGAAAAAACCCAGTCTCTCTCTTTTTTTCACCCCCAAGATGGGTTTTTTTTCCTTCCTGGACTAAAGGGGGGGCCCTCAGGTTGGAAAGGAATCCAGAGGGAACTCTGTGCATGCTCAGGGACTTCAACCTGTAAGGTGATGAGAACGGTTCAGCCTCTTTCTTTTTTCTTTCCCAAAGAACCTTCTCCAGGGCTGGTGTGTGTATGTATGTATGTATGTATGTATGTATGTGTGTGTGTGTGAGTGTGTGAGTGTGTGTGTGTGTGTGTGTGTGTGTGTATATATATAAAATTAGCTTTTTCATTATAAAATTTCTAAGCCTCTGCTAGAGTTGGGGCTATAAATAAACAAGGAAAGGTCACAACGCATTTGCAACCGACATCTTCTGGGCTCTGTAGACTGATCTGAAATATCATTTTCCTTCGGCTTGGCTCTCGGTTTTTTTTCCCCCTCGGCTTTGCCAGACGGTTCAAACAGCATCCAAACCCAGTCGGTCATCATTTCTAATTAGGCGGATTTGGGGGGGGGGGAAACACCTGTACTTCTCTCTCTCTCTCTCTCTCACACCCTCCCTCCCTCTCTCTCTCTCTCTCTTTCTATCTATATCTATTCCCTGCTATCTCTCTATCTCTCTATCCCCCTCTCTCTTATCTATCTTTCTAATCTACCTATCAATCTATCAATCTATCCCCTGCTCTACCTCTCTCTATCTGTCCATCTATCCCCCCTCTCTCCTATCTATCTATCTATCTATCTATCTATCTATCTATCTATCTATCTAT